TGACTTGAAATCTACCAACGCACTCAAGCAGCGTTTCGACAGCGAAAAAGACGAATGTTGCACCTTCACCAGTCAGCCAAAAATTTTATCCAGACATGTCAACTAAATGAACACAACACGCATTTTTAATCGATGCATTGTTTAGAACGAAAATAGATGATACGTGTGCAAACACTACAGCAATCAATTACAAGGCATGAGCTGACATAGGATTGGAACAATTACTCGAGCGGCTAGTGTTAATGCTGGCAGATCGCCAGTCGTCTCAGGCCGCTTCCGCCAGTACGCCGTCAATTGATGGCCTCATCAACAGTATCTCGGAGTTTTTCTATGATCCGGAGAACGGTGTTACGTATGAGTCCTGGTATCGTCGTTACGATGACCTGTTCTGAGTCGATCTCGCATCCCAGGATGACGCATGGAAAGTCAGACTCCTTACCCGCAAACTGGGCCCAGCTGAAGTAAAGAGACACACTGACACGATCCTCCCAAAGCCTTCTCTCGACTTCAGTTTTGGAAAAACCGTTCAAAATCTCAGGAACATGTTTGGAGAACGCACCTCCTCATTCAGTACCCGGTACCAATGACTCAAAATCTCACTATGAGAGTTTGACGACTTCCTTGATCATCTAGCAGTGGTCAATCGAGAGTGCGAGAAAAGTCAATTCAAATACATGACTGATGACCAGCTCAAAGTTCTTATTCTCATATGCAGCCTTCAGATCCCTAAATACACGGATCTGTGAACGCGGCTGTTACACTTGATTGATCAAAATCCCTCTGTGACGCTGGACAATATCCGCGATGAATACCTACATTGGAGCAGCGTGCTGCATGACTCCAGAATGGTCGAAGCTGGCGGCCGTAGTGCTCCTGAAGTCAACACGTTCCAGCGTATCAAAAAAACATCTTCCACTTCTGGCCTTTCCAGCCTTCGTCAGCCTAAATCGAGCAGAGAATCAGCTGAGAAAAATAGCCGGAGGAGATCACAGGACAATCCTCCTTCCCCGTGTTGGCACTGTGGGGCCTGGCATTATGTCAAGTTCTGCCCTTTCAAACAGCATCGATGCCAGCGATGCAAAGCTAAGGGCCACAAGGACGGATGCTGCAAATCATCCCCATCTAACAGGAGTGGACGGCACCCTCACCTTCACACAAAGGAAAGGTTAAAAGCCAAACCAGCCAGTCCTACTATCGCATCCCTCAGCCTACGGGTCACCTCCGAAGACACTTCACAGCAGCAGAGGATGCATACAACCGTCCTCATCAATGGTCATGCAGTTCGTCTGCAACTAGACACCGCCTCGGATGTTGCCATCATCTCGAAAACTCAATGGCTCTCCATCGAAAGTCCTCCACTCAAGGATATCGCTGAAACGGCAATCAGAGCTTGCGGTGGTGAAATTCACTTCCGCGGGCAAATGCAATGCTGTGTTTCCTTCCGCGAAACATCCTTCACTGGCACGTGTTATGTTCTCATCGCAAACTTAAACCTCCTTGGTCTAGATTGGTTAGAATAATTGGGTTTTTCCGACATCCCTATCAGCTCCATCTGCAATGCCCTACAATTGTCGTCAACACCTGGCCAAAATAACGCGTACATCATCAACCAGTTCACCATGGTTTTTTAACCTTGATTGGAACACTGTTAAACGACACAGGCTACCCTTCGCCTTCTGCCGGACGCTAAACCGGTCTTCCGTCCAAAAAGACCCGTCCCATACGCATCGTTACCGCTAGTTGACGCTGCGTTAGAACGTCTTGAACACGAAGGCGTCCTATCCCCGGTCTCATATTCAGCCTGGGCGGCGCCAATCGTTGTGGTAAAGAAGGCCAATGGTTCAATCCGGATATGCGCAGACTTCTCCTCTGGTCTAAATGCAGCTCTGGAAAAACATCACTACCGTCTGCCAGCCCCACAGGACCTATTCACAATTTTGACTGGTGGAATATACTTTGCAAAACTCGATCTAGCCGATGCCTACCTACAGATGGAAGTCGCTCCAGAGTCCCACCCACTGCTGAGCATCAATACCCATCGAGGTTTATTCCAGTACAACCGCCTACCATTTGAGTCAAGAACGCTCCCGCTAGTTTTCAAAAGTTATTAGACATCATTCTGGCCGGCATTCCTGGAGAGGCTTAATACCTCGACGACCTATTAATCGTAGCTAGTTCGCAAGATGAGTTACGCAAGCGGATCGAAGAAGTCCTTCAACGGACTCAGGACAACAAACTCAGACTTCGCCAGGAAATATGTGAGTTTTTCCTGACATCAGTAAAGTATCTGGGTTTTATCTTTGATGCCTCTGGCCGACATTCGGACCCTGAGAATATCCGTG